CACGTCATTCAACCCCATGCAACAGTCAATTCTCTTCCAGCTTGGTCGTGCAGTAAGACGCGGTGGTGACACGAAATGCATTTTATGTAGGTTGGTAGGTTGATGACACAAGGGACGATTTGATGGGAGGTGGTTGTGGCGTCCTCGCATTCCATTGTTTGAGGGAGGGAGGGAGAGAGGGAGGGAGGAGCGTAGTGCCATCTGCAGAAGATGAAGTGAGGTGCTCATCGCATGCAAGGAGGCGTTTGCTGCACTGCCGACGATTGCGCAGCTGTTGTGTTGAATGCTACTTCGCCACCTCCCAATGGGGAGGTCATCGGGAAAGACGTTGGCTGTGCACTAATTTTGACACAATGTTACATGTATTCAATGAGTGCGTGCTGCACGCCTCTCGTCTTCTCTTGGTCTCTTCATCGGTGCCTACTTGTGCATGAGAGTGTCATTCCACCGCCGAAATGACATTTTCAATAAATGTGCGACTTGTTGAAGCCAGATGAATGCGTGCACTTGCAGGCGCCATTGTCACAGGGGCCACCCTCCTCACTTTCCTTAATTTGCGTGACAGTCACGAGGGTGAGATTGAGCAGGGATGCGTGTGTCAGTTGACAACAACCACCCGTGCGCTCCTCCTTCCATGTTTCAGTCAACCTGTCTTTTGCGAGATGACTGCAAAGGAGAGTGAACGATGGGGTGCACCTCAGGCCGTGCGAAATGCAGGTTAGCATTAGTGAGGGAGAGGCTAATTCATGGTGAAACAGAGAGTAGGCAAGGTGGAGAGGACTCGACGAGTGGGGTAAGGTGGACAAGTGCCCGCGGATATATGAAGCACTAAACTAATGTGTGTAGCCTGTCGATGATGGAGTGTCATTGAGAGTGAGCTGGTAGAGCCACTTCATCACTCTACTGCTGACGCTGCACGAGCACTAGGATGGGAGTGTGTGTGCACAGGGTGGACGGTGAAGTGTTCACCTCCTTTGCCTGCTCGATGGTGGGCAGGAGGTGGGCTTTGAATTGTTCTGTTCCAACTTTCGCAACCGTGTAACCACAAAAGCGCGCATAACCTTGCACAATGTAGCTCACGTTTGGTGGTGCCAACGACATCGAGCAATCACAACGCCACCTACACTTCATCCGTGGGTTGAGCAAAGTGCACAGCCATACTGACGATCGCAGTCCACAAATAATACTTAGCGTCCAGTGCTACTGTTGTTCTTATTTAAGTAGCATGCTCGCACACATTATTGTAACCAAAAATGTTGGCATTGGCATGGTGGATAGACGCCTAGCTTCGGGGACTTGGCCACAGACACCTTACAAAATAAATGCATTTCATCTCCCTGCGATGGCCGTTTTCGTGACTCTAACCAACTTCCCTTCTCTACACCCTCTTCGTAGCCCTCA